TCCTCGTCCTTGGTGGCAATGTTACCCCCCGCATCCAATGAAGGATGGAAATTCTCCTTGGCTCTCCTTTTGTCACTGATATACTTGTAAAAACATTTTTTGTCATCTCTCACGACAGTGGCCAGTTGAGTTCTAGCTGGGCTTTTGCCTTTCTAATTTCCACTCTGCACGACCTAACGAGATCCCTGTACTCTTCTTGAGTTGCCTGCCCCTTCTTCCAAAGGTGGTAAACTCTCCTTTTTTTCCTGCATCCCAGCCAGAGCTCCCCCTTCAGCCAGGCCGGTCGTCTTCCCCGACGTTCATTTGTGGTTTTTTGCCGGAAATTAAGTAAAAGATAGGCCTGAAATATTTTAAGATCCTACAAAACAACTTTTTTTTTTTCTTAAACTCCATACACTGGTATCCACCAAAATCCATCACTGCATTTTATTTCTTCGTGTTTTAGAGCATTTATGCCACTTTACCTCACTAGAAGAAAGCAATTATGGCAGCTCTTTTAGCAATCACAATTTCTTTCACAAAAAAAAAAAGAGCCTGGTCTGTTACAGAAACAAACAGCAAAAATATGCTTTAAAGTATTTAGAAGCATATTTGTCATTCATATCCTTTTATCCTTTCAACAAATAATACAACGATGGAGCTAACTGCACAGCAAGCTATTTAAATGCTCAATACGTTAAGATAGATGGTTTTGTTGATGAAGAAAAAACAGCGCTAAATTCGGGAGAGAAGAGTTGGTTGCAAGTTGACTTCTTGTAATGACTAATTCAGTTATGTTTAATAACAAAATTTAACTGAAGCATTCAAGCCTAGTGAAATACTGGGACTAGTTTAATTCCAAGATTAATACTTTAAAAAAGCACTTAGGGAAGAGCCGAGCAACTACACGTTTCTCTCCCATTATCAATCCAAAGTACTACAGAAATTAAATTTCACAGAAACAGGCCTACTTCCAAGTATCTATAGAATTATGAATCCTGATTTCACTGACCAGGCTCACTGAAAACTTTTTTTTTTTAGTATGTGTATTTTAACCAGGAGCGGAAATCAGTATCTTTCCCAACAGCAATCACATACAAACACCTTTTACATGCTTTCCCACAATGTTATGGCTTATGTCATCAGATCTCCATCTCATAACCCCTATGTACTTTTGAGCTTACTGGCCAGTATCAACCAAATCTGAAAGAGATATAGGGATGTCAAAGTAATTAAAATACTATAAGTTTGGGAAAAAATTAGCAGCTGTTCAGGAGCAACAGCTGAAGTTAATGGCAAGTTGAGAAAAAGGCAGGCAGAAATCAGCCATTAAATACTTGATCTGGCTAATCAGCCAGCCAAAGCACAGTTGTCATTTGTAAAGCAGTTACCTGAAAAAAAACAAACCCAAACCCAACAAACCCACAAAAACAACAACAATAAAAAACTCCACCAAGCCATCAAACAAACAAGAAAACAAACAAACAAAAGCTTAATGATTAAACACAGGAAAGCTGTATCCCAGTTCCTGGCATTTTCTTTTACTATATTCAATGATTACAGAGAAAAATAGCCTAGTCCTAAAGAGATGCAAACTACAGAGACATATGTTCTAAACTAAGTAGTATTAAATAAATGCAACAATAATAAATGAGTATCTGAACTGTCAGAGCAATCAATATTGCAGAGATTTAAGGTGCACTATCATGATAGGAGCAAATCACCCGAAGACTTCACGTATGCTAAAACAAAGCATCTGTTCTTAAAAGACAACACCTTTTTGACAAATAAGATAAATCTCACTGAATCTCTTTTAAAGAGAAATCTTAGATGAACAGTGCATTTCGCTGGTGACTACATTTCCCCGAAATAGGCTATTAGGAAGAAAAAAATCCCAGAGACTATGCAAGCTATACAAGTATCTGCAGATGTCTAATTCTGGCACTTTATATGGATGTGTGGGAGTGTATGTTTAATACAGAATATCTATATCAAGAAATGATGAAGTAAGAATTATATTATACAATCCCTACTGATTCCTATACAAAAGGTGAAAGACAAAATGGAATTCAACCCCAATTTCCTATTATACATGATGGGGCATCTTGAAAAGGCTAATCTCCTTAGATATCAGGTTTCTAGTTCACAGTACGCAAATAAAAAATAGACACATTTTTCTCTGGTTATCTGATACTTCAGTCTGAACAGGGGGCCTGAATGTAGTTTTTGGAATTACACTTCATATGTAGGGACATGTCAAATGACAAGAGGCGACTAAATTTTTGCAGGTTAAAATGTTCCTTTTCAAGGTAAGCCAAATGAAAAAGGCCTACTGCTGACACACCCTTCTGAAAAGTGATACTGTCATTTGCACTACAAACGCAATGCCAGAGAGTTTCCTTCCTATTTGAATACTAGACAACAGCCACTACTGAACTGTGTCATTACATATATTCATACAGCATGGTTAGTTTGCAGACTTCACTGAAGGAATTGAGGTTTATTTTGATCTGTCACATCTATCAGAACTTAATATGCGCTGATTTCAAAATTACTAGGGAAGTGAATGAAATCTGAAATGCATTGCTTACTATGAAGTGAAGCTTTAAAAACATTACAGTATTACTGAAAAACAGTTTACCTTTGTTTTACTTTCTTCTGCAAAGCCAGGTGTGTCAGTATCTGGAGGATAGGCCACCGTTACGTAGATATTATATGGTTTTACCTGTATTTTACAAAAGTAAGTGTTATCTTAATACTGACAGTCTTTAAATGTCCCTCATAACTTCATTCATTTCTCTTGCAAAGAAGAAATACAGCAAGCATGAATTTAAATTGCGTCTAGTGTTAAGTCACCAGCATATTCAGCACTTGCAAGACTCAGAGCTTTGTCAAATGAGAAAGGCAAAACAGCAAAGATCTTAAAGAGATGGTTGTGTTGTTTTGTTTAATAAAAATATTTTAAAACTCTGCATTTGTTGTAAGTTATTTGATGAATCTAAGCGTCAAGACATTTAAGAGGAATATGAATGTAGTTTAGCTCTATGATTTTACCAATTTCAGTTTTAACAAGACTAAACCATTGCCGAACACCAGTACCCAGCATTCATAATCACAAGGCCAAAAAGGCTTTCACTGAGGCTTATTAGCATGCTTTTTTGTTGTTGTTTATGTCAACATACTTTCACTGCTGGACATGTATGAGAAAAAACCAACAAAAATGTAAAACTCAAATTTGATATGTTTAAGAGGTATACTCAAGTCACAAGGCTTTTCAACCCATGGTATAAACTTGCAAGGGGTCAAAATCTAAGGAGACAAAAAAATAAGTAGAAAATGTGAGGAAAAATGGAAGGTCTCATGTCAAGGATTGCATTTAGTTATGTATTTGTGTGTATGTGTCATAGAATTACATCACTTACTGCACGCCTATTCAGAAACTACTACAATGCAAATCTGTACTCCAATACAAATAAAGAAGCTTTTAATGAAAATATTCAGAGGGCTAAGATAAAGCAAGCATTGTAAAGCACTAAGCATTTTAATTTATATTATGAAACATTCTATATTGAAAACACTTACTGAAATACCACATCACAGGTCCATAAACACTTTATTTTTAGTTTCGAATAATTCAGTCTTCACAAAAATACCTGTCATCAGTCTGAAGAAAGACCCTGCAGTGATGTTGTTCTATTTGGCAGGCCAGAAGTGATTAGAGGCAGTTTTACCCCACATTCTTATCCTGATCAAGGCATACAACTACATTGAACAGAACAGGGTAACAACAGGGACTACACAAGGCAACCAAACACAGACATCTAATATATAAACACTCAACAACTAAAATATGCATTCTTAACAGAAGAATAAGGGAAGTAATTTTCAAACCAATTTTACCTGCCTTACTACAACGTACTTACCAACCTCGTTTCATTGAATAATGAGAACAGTGTTTGTTTGGTTTTTAGACTTGACTTAAGCATGAGCTTAGATCATTGCACTACCAAAAGCTCATATATACCAAAATTTAGAAGGGTGAACCACTGTCAACACAATTTTTTTGGTGGACAATCCTCAAATTCTAGCTTGCAAGTTCTACTGTTTCATATGGTTCACAAACCACTTACCATGGCCTCACAAACAAGTTGGGAATCACTGGCCTGCCCCTCATGCATCCATGGGATCTTCAATATCATTCTGCACTTAGAGCCTTGAAAAAGACTTTTACTCAAAAGACTTAAAATCCAAGTTCTTTTAGTTAAAATACAAGATTAAAAAAATGTCTGCACATGTGGTCATCTTCAGTTCTAGGAACAGATTCAATCTATTCCCTCTTATGCAACTGAAATGAGCTTAGTTTCTGCAATCCCATGCAGAGCAATAGGATTGTACTGCTGCCAAAAAAGGGCCAACATAGCACACAGAGATCAGCAGTGCTGCACAAGACAAAAAGAGAACTATTTAAATGAAAATGTGCTGTGCTGCTAGTTAAAAAAAGATTATTTTTGTTTACAATCAAAAATACTTAAATTATTGCACACATACCTCCATTTGCAGGGCTTCAGCCAACCCTCGAAGAGCAAACTTCGTTGGAGAATAAGCTGTATAACCAAATAGGCCTAACTGCCCAGCCTGAGATGATACAAACACAATCCTTCCCATTCTTCGTTCCTTCATGGTAGCAATTACTGCTCGACTCGGGTAAACACTACCCAGATAATTGACTGCCATTAATCTCTGTACAAACGATATTAAATGGTATTTGAGCCACAGATTCAGAATCCTTCAGCTGTTTGGTATTATTTATCAAAAATCCGTATTTCAGTCTGCTTTAACAGTGAAGTTCACTAGATTTGTAGTTCTATCAGCTGGCAAAAGAAACAACAATTGTTTTCTATTCTGCAGCTTCATAAACTGTTTTATAGCTAAAAATCTCACTTCAAGCCAAAAGAAATCCAGTTTATCAACGTCTTAATAGCATCCAGGATACTGATAATATTGTGAACCATATGGCCTTCAATGAAAAAAGAAGAATATTTGAGGGAAAAATCTAACCTAAACAGTGTCCAGGAAGCAATCAATTTACACATGATGTATGAAAACATACTGAATTGAAAGTTTAAAGAGCTTTCTAAAACAGGAAACGGGAAAAATTCTACATATTTGTGCATTTCAGAGACTTTAATCTTTGGCAGGATAAGGGGAAGTCTTTAATTTCACCCTCTAGAAGACCTAAAACACAACTGATAGCCTATACAACCAATAAAATGGATGATTCAAATTTATTAAAAAATTATGCCTATTTAGTATTTTCAGATGATTCAATGTTACCTGTAGATGACTGGGAGCCTAAGGGCTGTGGGCATAAAGTAGCCAAAGTACAGGTTTTGGGGTGTTTTTTTTTTGGTCTTTTCATCAGAGCAGCAGTTTCTCAAGCTGCAAACAATTTGTGCACCTCAGAGTTGAACACTGACAACAGCAGAATTTTGCTTAAACACGTTAAAAATATTTTAAAAAATCTTCACCAGAAAAAAAAATGAGACCATGTGAAATTCAGTGCCTTTCATAGCGCATCAAGCTACAAAAATACATGCCAGGCTTTTTTGCCACCTTGAGGACTCTACCCCAGAGGGAGAATTCACTGTTCTAACCCATCAATGGGCCAATAGTTAGGTGAGAAATTAGAGGCAATCCTCGCAAATCTAAAGATACATTCTAATTCTGACAGCTACCACAAATCAAGTGTATCACTATTCATACAAAGTCTGCAAAGACACAGGAATGCAATCTAGTTAGAACTGTTGCATAAGAAATCATCATATAATAAAAAAGTATGCTCACTCACTTCAAAAGAATTCACTTCAATATCCTCAAATTTTCCTGTAACTGATGTTCCTGCACAGTTCACAAGCATGTCAACTGGCCCCAGCTTCTCCTGAGCCTGGAAGAGGGGATAGAGGTTAAGATATTCTTTAGCAGGAAAAAATCTTTCCTATAGCACAGTATCATTATAAGAAACTATATTTCCATTAGAAATACATCACACACAGATAAGCTTCTTAAGATACATAAGTGAATCAGTTACTTCCTCACCTGTTTTAGAACATTCTCCACCTGTTCGTAGTCTTTGGATACATCAACAGAAATACATAGTACAACCTAGAAAAGGCAAGTGAAAGAACATTTTTCAGAACAACACAGTAAGTCCAGTAACTGTTGACTCCAAAATGAAACAAAATCCAATGACATATCTTTTCCAGAAAAACAAGAAGTCTTTTTGACAGGACAGTTTACACTTCTCCCACACTGGAGAAAGCAATCCCTACCCCCTCCGAGCTCCTCCCCCTCACACACACACATTCTAGTATAATGAAGATTATATTAAGAACGAATACGCGCTTCAGAATCTTCAAACGAATAAGCACTTCAGGATCTTCAAAGAAGCTACTCATGTGCAAAGTATCATTTCCAACTTACTGTATTAAGACACACTATGACTTGAGTTATTTACATGAAGTTTAGTAAACACTATTCTAAGGCAGTCAAAATTCCACAGTGCTACATATAACTTTCATCAGCGCTAAACACCATTTTTTTCCCACATCATAGAAAGGCATGGGTGCAGAGTCTTGCTCTGAAACTGCAGCATCAGCACTGCAAAAAAACTTCTCCAAAATTTATAAAGCAAGTGTTAAAAACCTGCTAAATTTAGTACTGGCAATGCAAGCTGCCCATTTTTTTAAATAAAATTTTGTTGAAGAATAATAGTAAACTTAGTTACATACTGTTTTAATTGGGACATGTCAAGGCCAAAACTAAAATAAAAATTCTATGAGAAACTGACTAGTTGCACAGTGTCATAAATATCTAAAAAGTGAAGTAATGTGTATGTGTTTGCTCCTTGTCTGGAAACGAGAGATTATGGGTTTTAGTTTGAAAGATACTGAAAAATGAAAATAAGCATTGGCCCCGGGGGGGGGGGGGGGGGGGTAGGGGGAGGGAGGGGGCAGACAGGACAGGACAACAAAAACCAGATGACAGTGATATCAAGTTTTGTCGCAGCTAAAAGTTAGGCCCTTTTTTTCTTTGAAGCTACTGATTACTTTCAGCAAGATGATCTCAGAATCTATGTTTTGAAGCACCTTCAAATCAACTTCTGGCCAAAGGAAGCACTGCCTTTGGGTTACCGCTTAACAAACTGTAAGATCACTACAAACTCCAGCTTGGCCAGCTATTTACAAATAAGCTACCCTCTCTGCTGAGCAACCAGCAGAGCTTCGGGGCAATTCATCATCTTGAAAGGAGAAGCAATCTCATATCACAATAAAAGGAGGGACTCCTGTATTCTTGTTCCAATTTCTATCCTTTCTGTTACTTTGGTCAACTCATTTAAACTCAATTTGAGGTGAAATAAACAAAGTCATCACCAGTTTGTAACAAGTATCATCAGGACCACTTGTCATGGAGCACGTGGACACACACACACACAAAAAAAAGCTTACCACAGTGTAACTAACTACTTTGGCAGCTGCTCATTTGTCAGTTCTGCCTCTGGTGAGACTGCAACACTTCTTAGCTGCATAAACAGAATCTGCTTGCCATTCCTGTACAGCAGGTTGGCTATTCCTGCCTCCCAGCATTGTGTGCAGTTGGACATCAGAGTAAACTCGTGGTGCAAGTTATTGGCGGGTCTGCATGCATCTCCCCTTAGGGCATTTATTACATTTTGGAAATATTTATCTTTTACATAAGTTTAAAAACAAGATAGCAGTTGAACGAAAACGACATTGATTTATTATCTGGATGTCTTTGCAAGACCAGTGAGGAGATTAAAAAAAAAAAAAAAAATCACAGTTCTGTATCAAAATTGGAGCAGTTGGTTAATGTATCAGATTGCATAGATTAGTTATTCCTACTATGAACAACAGACTCAGGAACTACCACAGCTTTTATTGACTACTATCATATTATACAATTCACCTCTTCGCTTCTATTATCATACGTTCTTTCTTCTGCTACAATATACCTATTACCTTCACTCCAGAGCATGCGCTATAGATCCACACCTAGGACACAGAATATGCTGCCAGAAATACTCTAATATCCCCAGGCCTGTTCCTCACCTTTTGTTTTAAATATTGCATGGTGTTGGATCATTAATAAAGCTTTCACAATAAAAGATCAATTCAACTCCCAGTGAAGTAACTGGGAATACTGTATATTAGGAAAGGGATTTTAAAAAATATTGCAAAAAACCCTCTAAGGGCAAGGATTTTGTTCCATTGCACACCTGTAGCCATAAAGGCTGCACTGTCAACACTCTAAATAAATTGCACGCAAACATCTTTAAAAGAACATTTGCCAAGAGGAACGCTAAAATGTAGATGCCAGACCCTGGTTGTCAATGTAACCTGGTTTCATGTATATATCCAAGACCTGAACAGCGACAGCATATGCTCATGTAAAAAATAATCTTTCCTGAGGATCTTTGCCTCTTGGCTCGACACTGAGTAAATGTAAGTCTCTGTGTACATGATCCATATCAGACAACATCTTTCTCTACAGTCTTTCAGCAATCCTTTTGTACAGCTTCCCTCGGTTCAGCTACCCTCACTTCCCAGCTTCTGATCTGCTGTTCCAGTGTGAGCTCTGCCCCAGACTCCCTGCTTTTTCCAGTTCTGTTCTTCGCATTCAGATCAGACAGGCTTCCCTGTGACCTTGTCTACAAACCAACAATAGCTACAGAAGAGCCAGCCTACCTATCACTCCTACTGCCTACGCTTAACCTGGCTGCAAGTCTACAGCTGCTTCTGCAAAAGCAGTCCTGTTCAGTCCACACTGGAGCTCGCTCAACCTTGAAGGTACTTTCTGAAACTCTTATGAACATGCACCAAGTAATATTCTTTTTAGAAGTCCGCATTTACCAAGCTCGGACAGATTTTAACAAGAACATCCTGACACAGTGTTTGACAAGTGATTAACTGTAATGCTAAGCTTGGGAAACTACTAGAGCAGCTAAAAGAAAATGGTTATTGGGATTTTTTTTTTTTTTTTAAACGCACAAAATAGTTTCTCCTCACCTCAAATGGCTTAGTTTTTCAAAGAAAGTTGATCTGAGTAAGGCAGCATGCACAGGAAAAAAATATCAGCTTGAGCCATTTCACAAGAATATAAGGAAGTGAAGACAGAATCTTATCTTATAAACACAGGTATTAAGAAAATTTTGTATCAGCTAGTACTAACATTATTGCCTCCAAATATTTGGCTTTTTCCAGTGCTTCTTTTCAACAGAATATCCAATTTATCAATTCAAATGCCTTTTCACAGGCAAATAAATTGCTTGTATTTGTAATGACAAAAGTAAAAAAAAAGTTCTGGAACACGAGAAAGGAGAAGTCAAAGATGTTAACAGTCTCAATACTGTTTCCCCTCTCCCCTTGATTATTAGTACTGCGAAAAAATAATTCTAGCATTTCATCTTGGATTTGCGTATTTTGAACATAGCAAGCTTACCTATTTTAAGCTAGTACCTCCGCAAGCTCTAAAACAGTGCCTTTATGCACAAGTGCACTATCTATTCACCGAGCAGCTTCAGTGTTTAGAAGTCTCAGAACTTCACAAATTTAACTTGTGTATCTGTTACAGTACTGTGCCAGGAAAAGGAACACAAGTATGATGTAGTGAACTAAACCTGGAAACAAGAATCTAAACTTCTTTCCCAAGACAATCGCTGTATTTATGAACTCCAAAAAGCAAGAGATTTGAAAGAAATTTGGTTCTTCCACTTCATCTTGAAGAATACAAACGCTTATCGAATGACAGTAAATTGCAGCTATCCAAAAAAAGCATATTACACCTACAGCTGAAGACATCAATCTTTTTCTCTAAGAAAAGCAAGCTAATGCACTAGCTAGGCAACATCAAATGTAGCAGAGTTCAGAACATCTCATGTAAGCAAATTGGTATTTTTGAATTCAAATACTGAGCCCTCACTCATTTTTGTCAAACAGCTTTGATTTAAAGACAGGACTACTGAACTATGTTGTAGTGACTATCTTAAACAAAACAGACAAAAGCCACTGTTAGCAGTGATCTTACCTGCTTGTCATTAACAGAGTACTTTTCTATTTCCTTCTTTGTCTGCAACAGCTTGTTCTGAAATGGATACAAGAACAGCTAAAGCATTGGAGTTCTGAGACCAATATTAGTCTTCAGTATTTCAATAAGGCTTAAAAACATTCCCTAGAACCCCCCAAAATTATCCTCAACTAGCTATAACACTTTACTATTGCCATTTTACAGATTTATGAAATATGATGAAAACGTGAACTCCATCAAGCTACCAGAACTCACTTATCTATAATAGATTCTATAATAGATTTAATGCTTTTGTTTCATACAGCTATACAGAGCACCTAAGACTGCAGGTATTAAATTTTCTCTTGTATTTTGGTTCTATTTTATATTTATGTAATATTACAAACTATTTTGAAAAACAATCATTGTCATGAAATTATCATAAAAATTAAACTAAAATTTGGTAAATTCAAGTTGTCATACTCCTTTCAAGAAAAATTATGTAAATTATGGCTGCATTCAAGGTTATGCAAAATAAGTTCTCAAGTGTGAGTAAATTATCAAAGACAGCTGGGACTGAGGCCCAAAAAAAAGAAGTGCTTTTATTTCCTGAACAATTAGTTTTTTCTCTACAAATAAAATAACAACCCATTATGAAAACAGAGTCATTCTAACTAAATTCTGAATACCTCTTAGTTAAAAAAAAACCACAAAGCAACCCCTTTTTCCTCCAAAGCTGTCTTGAAGAACAGTTTTTCACTAGTAAAAAGTATGATATAATGCTGATTAGACACCAAAATATTCTGTGAGTTTTAAGAATTGTCTTTAATCCCCCAGTTGTCACTTACAGGGAAATTCTACAGTTTTAAAGAATTCTACAGTTTATAAAGAATCCTCTGCCACAGATTTAGACAGTGAAATAATGAATGCCATTAACAGAAGTTATAGCACTGGCAGAGTTTTAAGGCAAGCTAATCACAAATTCCATGTTGGGCTACACTCCTTAAAAAGGCAGCCACCTTTCCTCCTTAAATGCATTAATTTGAATGCTTAGGTTCCCCTTAAAATATACGCTGAACAAAGTATATATAATTCCAAAATTATTCCCCACCTATACAGATTTTGTTAACAGAGTTTAGCCAGTAAAAATACATGTACACTTACCTCATCCCTTGCAATCAGTGTTATGAAAGCACCTTGCTTGTAACATTCAATAGCAATACATTTTCCAATTCCACTGGAGCCTCCAGTTACCTAAAAGTTATTTCAAAATAGCAGTATTAGTCCACTATTCTCATCCTTTCTTGATAAGAGTAAAATAAAACGAAAATTCTAAAAATATACTAAGATTAAAATATCACCCAATGAGGTATGAATACAGAAGATACACTAAAGTTAGTTTACTTTTTGAGTATGAATGAAAAATAAGACCTAAATAGATAGATGAGCTTTTGTTTCTACCCCAAAACCAGTTTTACCTCAATGGTATTTTTTGCTCATTTCTTATGTCAGGCACACTTAGACCCAACTCCCACATGGGCTTTCGCACATGCTTTTGACTAAGTTCTGTATTTCTGTTATTTCTAAAAGACAGTAGTAGCTAAGTTTGAAATCACTATTAATGTTAGCCATAATAATACAATTACATACTGCCCCTCCATACCTGGTCGTAGTAGAAATTATTTGTAAAATTAACAATTGTAGATTGCCTGCTAAAGATATCATCATGTAAACATAAACAGAAAATACCTTCTTTCTTACTAAAAAAATTCCATTAACTCAACAGTTGGCCGACTGTAGAGTATTTCTCAGTCCCGCAGTCTGGACCTTGAACTGCCCGTGCCGTCCCGCAGCTCCAGTTTTGTGGGAATGCCAGCACCTAAACTTCCATTACCTTTTCCTTCTTCCTCTAAACTGCAACACTGAATAATCTTTATATGCAAACATGAAATTAATAGTTTGCCTACAGACAAATGCAGGGTGATGACTACAGCCCTGCATCATATGTTGCAGCAGGATACACTGCCATGATACTAATATGCAGGTTAAAGTCACTTTAACACCTCACTCACTACCCTCAATAAACCTACTTATGAACGCCATGTGGAACAGACATAGACAACAATCCTGACCTCTCTTTTTGACTAAAATAAAAATGTCTGCCTGTCTGACACTGCCTTTAGAAGACTTGGTTCATTTAAGCCCAGTCTCAGTCTGCATGTGCCTTTGGTCCTTAAACAAACACTGGTATCTTCCTTATAAACCCAAATTATTTGAATTTTCTTTCTGAAAATTTTGAAAATTCTTCCAATTAAGAGGCTATAATTGAGAAAATATTGGAACAAAACGCCTAGAAGCGGTTATTGTAAAAAAATTCTGTTAATGAAATGAGTTCTGAAATACGGATTTCCTAATAATTGGAAAAAGAAGTGATTCAGATTGCTCTGGAAATCATCATTTTTTTGTTCTTTATCAAAACCTTTCAAAAGACTTCAGAGAAAGTAGGGTATCACCTCCATTTTAAGTATGAGAAAACAGAGTCATTGACCTAATTAGTGGAAGAGCAAAGATCCCCAATCTCTAACTATACACCTTATCAAAATCCTTGTGTTGTCTCCTCATCTGCCAATGCCTCAGAGTTTTGTTTTCAGAGCTGCATTATCCTTAAAATTCTTTCCACTTCTGGAGGCAGTAAAGTCAGAAGAGTCAGAAGTACATTCCTATGAATCACTAAACTCTTCTTTCATATGAGTATTTTATCACTAACCTTCAAAAATAGCTTAATGTAAATCAAATAATCCCATGGCTTCTGACTGGTTCATCTGCAGTCACAAACGGGCCAAGAACAAGTGTAACATTCACACAAATTTCAGCTCTTTAGGCTTCCTCTATTAGAGATAGCTGCTTCAGATTAGCTTCTAACTGACTCTCTCTGTAAGACTAGCTTCACACTACACTAACCTCTGAGGGTGTATCCAAGATGCATGTCCTGTTCTAGAAATGTGAAATCAGTCACAAATGGGCCAAGAACAAGTGTAACATTCACACAGACTAATTTCAGCTCTTTAGGCTTCCTCTATTAGAGATAGCTGCTTCAGATTAGCTTCTAACTGACTCTCTCTGTAAGACTAGCTTCACACTACACTAACCTCTGAGGATGACTCCAAGATGCATGTCCTGTTCTAGAAATGTGAAATCTGGTCTGCAGTGTTCTGAACCAAGGATGACTGCCTTCAAAGTAAACGAGGTCTGTAAGAGTGCCAGTGTTAGTTAACGATTTGGGACTTCAGCAGAACCCCAGAATTAATGAACGCTTCATGATGGGAAGAAGTTAAGAATTTTAGTGTATTTGCAAAATAGTTTGCAAGATTTCCATACACCTCTGAAAAGATTAAAAGACTCAGTTTGATACATTCAGGCAGACCTCAGTTCCACATCACTCATGAGCTGCTTCTACAGATTTTCAACAGCAGCAGGTGCACGAGCACATGAACTAATCAATGTGCATGGAAGACTACTCCAATTCCAATTTACGGCATAGCACTGAGAGACAGCTGATTACTACCTGCACAAACTGCTAAGTATCATGAACAGGTCAACTACACCAGTGCTTGAGGAATTCTTTGAAGGTGAAGGTACTGGCACCAAACCTCTGGCTTGTCAGGAAATGCTAACATTCATTGCAGGAAGACAAGGTCTGAAGTCACGCAAGAAACGGAAAAAGGAATTTTTTATTCACAGTCACACCCAAGAACACTGGATAAGGGTCATGTCAAATAAGTCAGTGACAAAAGGCAATATCAATTAGCTGGGAACTTTAGCGTTTAGGTGGGAGGCTGTTACTAGTATGTGGGAGATCTTTCAGAACATTCACCATGAATGCTAACGTAACAGAAAAAAAAAATCCCTAATACTAGTGAAAACTAGTGGTACAATGAAATTAGCCCAAGCAAATCTATGCAGTCTGTTAGGTAGGTAAGTTACTAACATAGATGCTCAGAATTAAAGGAAGAGTACACATCTACTCCATTAAACAAGACGTTATTAAGGTTACTTACCCTTATCGCCAATAGTTCTACAGTGCTACTGCATTTCATTAGCTGGAGACATTTGAATTGCCACTGATCCTTTTTTATTTATTTTTAAATTTCACTGTAACCCACCCTCAGAGGAGTTAGCAAAAATAAAAATCTGGTCACAGCAACTCAAAACACAGACTAATTTCTTCACAGGAAGGGACAATTAAATCCTAGTATTAATTCAGATGTTCAGAATGCAATACTACCAGCTCTTGAGCAGTGTTATTGAGCTGTTTCTATGTTTGAAAAGAACAGGCACCAAATTAGCCATTCCAAAAAGAGTCTGGCTCCAACTTCTCGCGCTATGATCCTTGATAACAGAGTTCAGCTTCTAAGGATCATAGGGTTTATTTCCCCCTTGATAAATGGAAATCTTGGGGTGAGGTACAGAAAATTGCTGTGTTTGACCTTCAAATTTGAGATACTGGAAATTCGCTTCAATTGATGAGACAGTCCAACTCCAAATTAACAGAACTGTCATTAGGACTGATCAAAATCAAGACTTGATTGATACCGGATCTCCAACAGAGCTTATTAACTTTGACTTAGCACTGGATGCAAGCTGGCTTCATGCTTTTAGACAGTGCTCTGACAGAAAGTATTTAGTTCCACTGAAACAGAACATCCCTATAATCTGCTCTAAGTGGTTAGTATGCCTGACTAGACTCAAAATGACCTCTTGTCGAACCACTCAGATGCATCCAAACCACAGATTGTATCACTCCCAACACAAGAGCTACAATGCTGAGACGCCAAGATTGGCCGTCCTTAAAGTTGACCGCAGTTATCAAGTTAGGCTCTGCACAGAAGTGGTGAAACTACTTCTAGACTAGAGATGACCTTTATGCATGTGGATTTGGCATGATCATCCTGAACTATGTCCAAGTGAAAGGCCCTTTTCAATCTGAATGGGAGATAGTTCCAAACAGAGAACATCTTTACATTTCCTGCCATCGTTAGTTCACAAACTTTTATAAACTGCATTTGTATCACTGTGATCTTGGTTTTTTTCACAGAAATTTCAACTTGGTTTTAGAAAGATTAGGCTGATACAAGGGGGAGAATACAATTGGTATTTCAGCAAAGACAGCTTCTAAACATCACTCATGAAATTTACAGAAGGCTGCTTTTGCTCTAACATCTTGAGTTTTTGTTGCATTCTGCTCCATCAAGCAAAGTACCTTTGTAGAGAAATGGAAAGAAAGAGCAGAGAGAATGTGTGTAGGGATGGTGTAACATCCCTGAGAAAGGGCAGTTAAATGTGATGCAAGTGAGTATGATGCACTTGAGCAGTGATGACTGTCTTATCCTATTTTCATTTTCCTGTCTACTATTACAACCAGCTACCAAACTGATAGCTTATTCTCACTGAATAGGTGATGTGTGCTAGTATGTAGCCTGAGACCCTAGGAGAGAGTTAAAGACAAAATAAAATAGTCTTCCAGATTTCAAAGCATGGAGAAGTTCAGCATAAGAAGCAGTGGCTCTACAGCACAAAAATAACTTTTATACCCTTTACTCAAGAACACATTCCTAGTCGTGCTAGAAACAAAGCAAGTACTATTAAACATCTAATACTAATTTTTTTTAAATAAGTTAAACCTGATGCTTGAGCCAATTTGATAGCAGAGAAGTCCTTTTTATTTAATGGTGCTCACTGGGGTCACTAAAATACATAGCAGATAAGGGGGGGGGAAGGGGACGACACACACCCACAAGATTAGACCATTACTAATTTGGAAGTTTGTAGACTCTCACTCTGAGTAACAGTCCTATTTTTTTCCAAGAAAAAGAGACTCCTATGATCATGATTGCTCCAGAAAGCACGCCTCACCTAACACAGCGAGCGCTTCCATCATGCAAATGACTCTGGGAGAGGACAGAGAGAAAAAACCCACAAGTTTTCTGCTTCAAATTTCTATCCCAAAAAGCAGCCACAGTCAGTTACTTAGCCATAACTCAAACATCTATTAACTGTGAAGAGAAATACTTTTTATGAAGGGTTAAGAGTGAAAAGAATGCTGTCTTAAGTTGAAAATTCAATAAGTGGTATGCAGTAGCATCAGAAGTTGCCCAATGACCTTCCTTCAGAAATGTTACAGACATATTTTCATGATACTTCCAACAGGCCTCTAGTTTCTAGGTAAGACTGACTTTTTCTGCTTCAGAAAAACAATTTATTCAAGTATATATTGAAAAATTATATTTACTGTGCAATGGTAATCACTTGCCCTTGAGAAGGCTTAACCAGCTAAATATGCAATTTGTAGTTTTTATTCTTTTATTCTTTACTTCAAGGGTTTAACTGAGGCCTGACAAAGATTACCAAATGTTAATCTACAGTCTTACCTGAATCAAGTCATAAACTAAAAAGAATTTATATATGCAGATCACTTAAACAGATTTTGATGTTTTTCTATGAGAAGACTTCAAAGAAGTCCTTAGATATATTACTGTCCTTAAATATTTTCATGAAGTCTCTCAGTCATTTCAGTAGCAGAGAACACTGCTGGACACTTGCACATTTGGATTTCAAATTTTCTAGTGTAATGCATAAGGAAAAATATTGGATGATGGTACTGTAAATCACAAATTTTTTTGAGGGAGGCTTTCCACATTGTGTACATAAAGTGAATTCTTACATCGTATATGATCCAAATGTACAAGTGTCCAGCACTAACAGCATCTACAAATCTAAGAACTAGTGAACTCTAAATAATTGCTCCATATTTCATTAGTTTGCACGCATACTTTAAGAGCATAACTAGAGTCAAAATAAAACAAGAAGTTCTGCCAGCAGTGTCATCAATCAAACTGTTTACCTGCAGGTTTTGATTTGTATCCTCAAGATAAATACATCTACAGCCTTTTCCTCCATCAATATATTAATATAGTTACTTCTCTAGCTGGACTCCTACTTTTACAAGACTTGCATCAATACTGTTTTTGAGACTTCCACTTGTATCAAATTGAGCTTAAACTGCTAATACAATTAGCGGCAGTGATTATAGGGAGGTTTCTCCAACAAGAATATTCTCATCATTTTTAATGTGAACTTTTTAAAATGAACAATTCTGATTAGAAGAACCAGCAGAGCTTTTAAAGAGTTTAATCACATAAAGAACAGACAAAACTTGGGTAATCACAATATATATATAAAAAAACCAAAACAGCAAAATTTTGGAACAAAATCCACTAAACCTTTTATTGTTTGCTATTCTATTTCTGCACAGAAGTTGCAGAAGGCACTTAAGTCTTCTTCACCTTTGCTTTTACACAGTTTTGAAGGGTTCCTCCTTAACAAGCATTACTTCTGTGGGAAGAGCCATAACCAGAGAACCTTAATGCAAGCTCGAACACACCTCACAGAGTATCACAATATATGATGCTGTAAAGCCAGTTACAGCATCCAAGCAACACCTATTGCATAAAGCAACTTGGGAATACTGTTGCAACTTGGACAGGTCTAAATTATTCTGGGGACAGCTCCATCCTCCAAAGAGGAGCTCCAAAAATAACAAAAAACCCAAAACAAAACAAAAAAGGCACCATAAAGAGCTCAAAAAAAACCCCCACCAACCCAGAGTAGCTGTAAATTCACTTGCACCTAAGAGGTCTAACTTCTGGATTATCCCAAACTCCCACTGTAATAAAGGGCATCTGCAAGCACTACTCACCACTTAAAAGCAAATTTAACTGAACAGTAAACTACAGCTTCTCTGCATAGAACATACCTTAGGGATTTAAAGCTAAGTTAAAAGAGCTGATTCTAGGACCCTGATTCTTTCAGCTGCTTAACTCATTTGCTCTCATGCATCCAAATTCACTACTTTGTGATCCACCTGGGTATCGTTCCCCCCCCCCCCCCCCCCCCCAAGCCACACACCCATACAACTTCTAGTGATGTACTACTCATGAACTGTTTCAACAGTATGTTCTTCTGAAGACTTACTTCTACCATCTTGACTACGGACAGTCAAAATATTGCTCATAGACATCGACATCTATGTACTTAAAGTCAAAAAGGTGCACGAGTGTTATCTGACCACTTCCTTTGTATTAGTCTTCCCATTTCCTCACGTCTGACTTGTTTTTTAGACCAAGGAAACCATAGATTTTTGCCTTTTGTTTATGAGCGCGCACACCATTTAATACCTTGGGAGATGCTAAAAGAAAACAAAACTCAAGGTAACTGGTAACTTCGAGAGTACAAAAGCAATGTCTCAAAAAGTCAACATTAAGACTGAAGATGGTTTGCATTTCTGGTGACTCAGATCGCCTTAAGCCAACCGAGATAGACAGCGGTTGTCAGAGTCATCTGCACAGGTCATCTCCTTATCACTCGGACTTGTGGCTCCCATGTTTTGGTAGCTTGGGGTGCTACAGCCAGCTGCCAAGATTCCTCGCAAACCAGCGGGCACCCCTAACGCTGAACCTCCCCAGCGCGGGCTTTTCCCACCAGCCCCCCTCCGGGCGCCGCTGAACGCCAACCTGCAGGGATTTACCATCCGCACGCCCCGCCAGAGCCCC